CTTCTTCTGAAACACAAAATTACAGTTACACCTCGAAAGTATATCACACTTTTTTATTTTTTATTTTCTTTTTATATCATGAACTTAATCAATATTGACAAACACAAAAGTTTCCCACATACAAAGAACAGAAACTGTGAATCTGTTTTACACACAACTTGGGTTATATGTGTGTGTGTGTGTAAAATTTAACACAGAATACCAACACTTTCCAGTTTTTCTGTTTCTCCTTCTGAGCTTCTTTCAGCTCTTTTCTGTGTTTTTTCATTGATAATCATTTCTTTCTTTTTTTTCTTCTATCTTGGATCACTCATGGCTACCCACTTATATTCCTGTACATTCTTCTCCTCCTTCTCCAAAAATAAATAAAAGCTCCCTCTTACAATAAATTAATACAGTCAAACAAAATAAATTCACCTATTGGATGTGCCTGACAGTATATGTCTCATTTTGTAACTCTAGTCCATCCCTTCTCTGCCAAGAAGTGGGAAATATGCTTCATCATAGCTTTTAAATCTTTCCAAGTTTATTTTTAAAATGTTATAGTCATTGTATAAGTTATTCTCTAAATTTTGTTTTTGCTGTGAATCTGTTCCTTTAAGTCTTCTCAGGTTTCTCTAAATACATACCTTTCATAATTTCTTATCATATAATAACATCTCTTACGTTTTTATGCCATAATTTGTTCAACTATTCCCCAATTGATGGGCATTAACTTCGTTTTTAGTTCTTTGCTACAAGAAAATGTACTACTATATTTCTTAATATGTATCCTTTCCCTCTATCTTTGACCTCTTTGGGGTCCATGCCTGATAGTGGTGTCACTGAATCAAAGGGTATGCACAATTTAGTGACTTTGGGGGTATATTCCAAATTACTTTTAATAATGGTTAGAGTGATTCAAGATTCTACCACTTTCATCATCAACTACCATTACCAAGTACTTATTAAGTTCTTATTATTTGCCAGACACTATGCTAAGTGCTAAAGATACAAAGAAGTAGGGGGAATTATTCCTTTCCTTAGAAAGTTCATATTCTAATGATGGAGACAGGATGCAAACAACTATGTACATATATAATATATGTAACATAAATGGGAGATAATTTCAGGTACCTTTTAATAGGTAGGATTTAAGTTGAGTCTTGAAGGAAATCAGGAAGTACAAGTGAGGAGGGAGAGAATTTCAGGAATGGAGAACAACCATTGAAAATACATAGAGTTAGGAAATGAAGCATTATGTGTAAGGAACAGAAAGAAGATGAATTTAGAGTACATGGAGTAAAATAAGAGAACACTGGAAAGGCAGAAAGGGACTAGGTTGTAAAGGGTTTTAAAAGCTAAGTAAAAGATTTTATATTTGATCCTGGAGGTGACGTGAACCCACTGGAATTTATTGAGTACAGGACATGGTGAGACCTGGGCTTTAGAAGGGTTGGTTAGGCAGCTGATTGGAGAAAGACTTGGGGCAGAATGACCAGCTACAAAGTTATTAAAGTAATCTAGGTGTAACGTGATGAGGGCCTGCAACCAGGGTGGAGGCTGTGTGAGTGGAGAGAAGGGCACTTAATGAGAGATATTCTGAAGGTGGAAATGAAAACTCTTGGTAAGAGATTAGATTTGTGAGGTGAGTGGGAATGGGGAGTTGAAGATGACACTAACATTGTGAACCTGGGCAACTGTAAGGAAGCTTGGGAGAGGGGAAAGGTTTGGGAGGAAAGATGATGAGTTCTATTTTGGGCATGTTAAATTTGATAAGTCTAAGGGACATTTAGTTTCAGATGTCCAATAGACACTTAGTTGGAGGTAAAAAGAGTAACTGAATCCATGGGAGCGGACAAGTTGACCAAGTGAGTTGGTACAGAGGGAGAAGAGAAGAGAACAAAGGACAGACCCTTGAGGGACACCACAGTTAGTGGGCATGACCTGGATGAAGATCTAGCAAAGAAGCCTGAGAAACAGTGGTCATTCAAGTAGGAAGAGAACCAGGAGGGCCGTGTCATGAAAACCTAGAGAGAAGAGAGAGCCTAAGAGAAGAGAGGGATGGACAGTGTCAAAGGCTACAAAGAGGACAAGAAGGATGAGGACTAAGAAAATACCATTTGGTTTGGCAATTAGAAGATCATGATTAACTTTGGAAACACAATTTCAGTTGAATGATGAGGCCAGAAGCCAATGCCTAAGTTCCTAGGGTTCTCTAAGTGAAACTGAGATATTGCTTGCCATATTCAGGAAAGGTCCATTTGTTCCTAAATGTTTTAATGTTTTTAATGAAATATGATGTATTTAATTCGAAGCCTTTTCTGTATCTCTTAATGTAGGCATATGACATTTGTTATTAATATTGTCTATTATTTTTATCAGGACCAACTGGCTTTTAAGAATCTTATAGCCTGAAGAAGTTATAGCAGTCTTAAAGGTCAACTGAACTTGGCTATTGCCTCTACCAGAAAAATTGATTGCTAGCTATGGTCACTGTGTGCTTTTCTTCCAGGGTCCTTCAGGCATCTTTCTTACAAAGCACAGAGCGATGTGTTAAAAAAAAAAATAGAAATTTCTCTGTGTAAATTTAGGGAAATGGCCTAGGGTAAGGACTCCCTATTCTGCAAAATCTTCTAGGAAAGTTGGAAATCAGTTTGGGAGAAATTAGATTTAACTAACAGCTTACATGCTATTTCACAATAAGCTCCCGAATGGACCCATGAGCTAAATACAAAAGGTCATATCATCAACAAATTAGAGAAGGAAAGGAGATAACTTTTACAACTATGGCTAAAGGGAGAATTCTTAACTAAACAACGATCAGAGGTGAGCAGAAAGGATAACATGGACAACTCCAATCTATAAAATTGAAAACCTTTTGCACAAGCAAGAGCAACAGAGTTAAAGGAAGAAGAGAAACATTTAATTGGAGAGAAAAATCTTTGCATCAAATCTCTGATAAAGATCTGATACCCAAGATATAAAGGGAAATTTTTTTTATCCTTGTTGTCCTTTCTGTAGCCTTTGACACTGCCCACCACCCTCTTCTCTTGGATACTCTCTTCTCTCTAGGTTTTCATGACACTGCTCTCTCCTGGTTCTCTTTCTACCTGAATGACCACTGTTTTTCAGCCTCCTTTGCTAGATCTTCATCCAGGTTATACCCACTAATTGTGGGTGTCCCTCAAGGGTCTGTCCTTTGTTCTCTTCTCTTCTCCCTCTATATTGTCTCATGTGGTGAATTTGTTAGATCCTATGGATTCAATTACTCTTTTCTGATGTCCAACCAAGTGCCTATTAGATATCTCAAACTGATTGAGAAGACTTATATGAACCCTGTATACAAATATATAAGAATAGGAACCATTCCCCAATAGATAAGAAGTTAAATGAAAAGAAAAAATGCAAGTTACCAACAATCAGATTCTTTTAAATGCTCCAAGTCACTGATAATGAATGAAATGCAAATTAAAGCAACTCTCTACATCAGATTGGCAAAGATGACAAAAAAGGAAAATGGCAATTTTTGGTGGGGCTGCGTGAGAGAACACTAATGGATGGTAGGTAAAAATGTGAATTATTCCAATCATTCTTGAAAAGAATTTGAAACCAAACTCCCAGAGTCTCTAAACCGTTTATTTCAGGGTTATCCCTGTTAGGCATAAACTATAAAGAAGTCAAAGACAGAGAAAAAGCTCATTCACTTACAAAAATATTTATAGCAGCACTTTTTGTGGTCACCAAGAACTGGAAACAAAGGGAGTGTCCATCAATTAGGGAAGGGTCAAATAAAATATGATATGAAAATGTAATGGAATGTTATCTCACTGTAAGAAATGTTGACTATGACAGATTTTGAGAAACCTGGAAAGACCTTTGTGAACTGATAAAGAGTGAACTGAGCAGAACCAGGAGGACAATTTACATGATGGCCGCAATAATATAAGCTGAAACAACCATGAAAGACTACAGAACAGTTCAATGCAGTCAATAATCATGACTTCAAAAGCTGTTGATAAAGAATTCAGACCTTCTCTTGGCACAGAGATGTTGGACCAGAGTCATAGAATGAGACATGAATTTTCAGACATGGGCAATGGGTTGCCTTGATTTGCTCAACTAATTTTGTTATTATTTGGTCATTTTTCAGTTGTGTTTGACTCTTCATGATCACATTTGGGGTTTTCTTGGCAGATACTGGAGTGGTTTGCCATTTCCTTCTCCAGCTCATTTTACAGATGAGGAAACAGAAGCTAACAGGGTTAAGTGACTTGGCCAGGGTCACACAGCTAATTAGTGTCTGAGGCCAGATTTGAACTCAGGAAAACGAGTCTTCTTGACTCCAGGCCCAGTGCTCTATCCACTGTGCCATCTAGTTGCTTGACTATAATATACTAATTTGTTACAAAAGAAGGCTTCTATGAGTCAGGGGGAGTAGGGAGTGATAGGGATGCCAAAGAGAGTATCAGTAACATTTTTAAAAACAGAAGGAAACAAAAAGAAATTTATAAGGAGACCCAAACAAACAGTGCAATTCTGCTACTACTAATGTGTTGTTTTATAGAAAGGATTTCTATAACAGAGAAGAGTCTTTTCTGCTAAATTTATTACAAAAACTATGTAATAGAAATAATATAAAATATATTAATAATTATATAACAAAAATTAACAATATATACAATTGTCTTCTGTTCCTCAGATAGTAAAATATCCATGTTTATTAATGATTGTTAAGTTCAAAAGAAAAAAAAATTTAAATGGAAAAAAAAAGATAATGCCTAATATCGTCTCATGGGAAATCTAGAATAATTTTCCCAAGTTCTGCTCCTAGAATTGGAGAATTAATGCTTACTCGGTTACCTATGATTTCAAAGACTTTCACTTTGACAGCTAAATGGAATCTTCCAGAGATTTTTTTTCTTTTTTCCTTAAGGTGCCTGGCCAAGAGAAAATGAGAGAGCTAGGGGAGTGTAATAGAATGATGTGTGTTTTATTTTAAAGGCAATGATGTGAAATACCCGTTTCTGCTTCTGGACAAGCTGCTCCAGCTCCTGTTCCTTTGACACCAGCTTTTGCTCCAGCTCCTGACTCTGACACTGAAATCTCTTCACATCCTGTTCAACCAAAAAAGGCAAAAATGAAATCCAGATACAGCCTGGTGAGAGATGTTCTGAGATTCAGAGTCAAAGAATCAGCCAGAGTTGGAAGGGACATTAGAGACCACCTAGCCATAGGATTTTATATCTGGAGCCACAAGGGGGCTCAGAGACCAAGCCCCTCATTTTAAAGATGAGGAAACTTGTGTCAAGGAGCTTTAAATGATTTGCCCAAAGTCTACAGGTAAGAAGTGTCAGAGGAAAGATTTGGACCTAGGTCTTCTCACTCTAGGCAGCTAGGTGGCACAGTGCACAGAGTGCCAGGCCTGGAGTCAGGAAGACTCATCTTCATGAGCTCAAATCTGGCTTCAGACACTTGTTAGCTGTGTGACCCTGGGCAAGTCACTTTACCATGTTTGTCTCAGTTTCCTCATTTGTAAAATGAGCTGGAGAAGGAAATGGCAAACCACTCCATTATCTTTGCCAAGAAAACCCCAAATGGGGTCATAAAGAGTTGGATGTGACAGAAAAAGTCTAAACAACAACCTCTCACTCCACAGTCAATGTTTTGCCACCCATGGTTTAACCCCATTCACTTTGCAAATGAGGCAAATTTAATTGCTAGGGTCACACAGCTAGTAAATGGCAAAAATGAAACCATACATAACAAAATGAAAGCTATAACAATTCTTGTTGCGTATCTATTTTGGAAATAAAAAGTGTAGATAAAACACTTCCTACTCTCATAGAATTTATATTCTCCTAAGGAAGCAAGACACCAACATGGTTAGCTATCAGTCTTGCGTTAGAAGCCCATTAGTACATCCGAACTCAGATCTCCTGACCACTAGCTTCCACTACACCAGCCCTCCCATCCTGGACCCACTCTGAGTACCTTGGGCAGATGCTGTGTATCAAATCCTCCCCTTGAAGTAGACTTGGTCCTAAGCCCAACTCCTTCACTAATTCAGTATAACCTTGACTACATTATGAAATCTAAATCTCAGTTTCCTCATCTGACAAATGGGAATAATAATGATATCTGTCCTGTGTAGCTTATGAAGTGTGACAGAATCAAAAAGTTGTTGCTAGAAGAGGTCTTAGAGATTATCTAAGGGTCTGCTAGGAGGCACAGTGGATAGAGCACTGGACCTGGAGTCAGGAGGACCTGAGTTCAAATCCAACTTCAGACACTTGACACTAGCTGTGTGACCCTGGGTAAATTACTTAACCTCAATTGCTTCAAGAGAAATTATCTACTCCAAAACCTTTACTTTACAAATTAAAACTGAGGCCCAGGGAGTTCTAATGATTTTTCCAAGATTACACAGGTAGTATCAGGGGCAGGATCTAAACTCAGGTCCTTTGACTCCAGACTCCTTTGACTACTTTCTCCATTGCAACATACTGCTCCTTGGACTCCAAACCCACCCCACTACACTGTACCATAGCCTCCAAGTCAAATGAAATAATATATATGAGAATACTCTCCCAAGTATATAGTACTCTACTAATGCAAGGTCTTTGTTATGCATGGGCCTCTATTCTAGGGAGGAGACATAGCAGTACAGTAACTGAACCTAGATCTAGCTGTGAACTCCTTGAGGCTAGGCACTTTCTTCTGCCTCTTTTTGTATTGCCAGTGGTTGGCACAGTGCCCGGCACATTTTGTTGTTTAGTTGTTTCAGTTGTGTCCAAGTCTTCATGACACCATTTATTTTGGGTTTTGTTGGCAAAGATACTGGAGTGGTTTGCCATTTCCTTCTCCAGCTCATTTTACCAATGAGGAAACTGAGGCAAACAGGGTTAAGTGACTTGCCTGAGGTCACACAGTTAATAAGTGTCTCAGGCCAGATTTGAACTCAGGTCTTCCTGACTCCAGGTCCCGTGCTCTATCCAATATACTACTTACTTGCCCCACCTGGCACACATAAATATAGGCACTTAATAAATGTTTATTGACTGACCAACCCAGGTTTGCAACCTTGGAGTCATCCTTAATACTTCCCTCTTCCTTTGCCAATCAAATCTAAACATTAGAAAAAAAATCTCATTGAAAGCAACGAGCATTTATTTTTTCTTCTTGTATTCAAAATTTTATACTGGTGTCTTGCACCTATTCAATAATTACTTAGAAATGGTTGAATTGAAATGCCAATTCTTGTCAACGTTATCACTACTGTAGCTATCTGGTGCAGGGGGTAGAGTGGTGGATCTGACATCAGGAAGACCTGAGTTCAAATCCTACTTCAGAAACTTTTGGTTATGTGACCCTTTCTGCCTTAGTTTCCTCAACTGTAAAATGAGGATAGCAATATTATCTAGCTCCCAGAGTTGATGTGAGGATAAGATGAGAAGAAATCTGTAAAGCATCCAGCAAACCTTAAAGCACCTTATAACTGCTGCATATTAGCTACAACATTTCTCCCACCTGCCCCTTATTCATTTACATGGCACTTATACTAATTCAGACCCTTTGTCTGGATTATTGAAAAAAAAAACAAAACAAACAAAAAACAAAACTCCAAACTGATCTCCCTTCTTCCATTCTGTCACCTCTCCAATCCATCTGACCCAGAGCTACCAAAATAATCTTTCTAAGGAACAGGTCACTCCCTAGCTTGAAAGCCCAAAATGGCTCCTTACTGCCTCCCGGATAAAATATAAACGTTTCAGCCTGGGATTTAAAGCCCTTCATAAACTAGATCCAACCTGCCTTTCTGGCTATTTCATATTACTGCCTTCATATATTATTTCAGGAAAATTGGCCAACTAGTTTTTCCCTCAATTCCTTTCTATCTCTCATCCTATTGCCCCTCATGCCTAGAATGTATTTGTTCCTTACCTTTTACTCTTAGAATAGAATCCTTATTTCATTAAAGGTTCAAGTCACATGCCACTTTCTATGTAGTCTTTCCTGAACCCCCAGTTGCTAGAGGGCTCTCTTCTTCCTTAAGATATGGAACTTTACTTCTCTGTGTAGACATTGAATCTCCTCTTTGTATCTCATCCTATACATGGTAAACTCTTTGGAAATAAGGACTATCCTGTTTTTGTCTTTGTTGGTCCTAGCATAGTGCCTTGAACAGATAGAGTAAGCATTTGATGTTTGTTTAACTGAATTGAATTTACATCAAACCTAAATCTGTCTTTTACAATTTTCACTGATTGCTACTCATTTTGCACTCTGAGGACAAAGACAGCAACTCCGATTTTTGCTTTAAATGACAGCCCTTCAAATACTCAAAGACGTCTATCATGTCCTGGAATTCTTCTCTTCTCCAGGCTAAACATACCATTTCCTTTAACTGATTGTCATAGGCAGGGCCTTGAGGCCCCTCATCATCATACTCTCTTTTTGACGTATTCCAGCTTGTCATTATCCTTCTAGAAAACAAGACTGGGAGAGCAGACCCAACGTGGAGCTGAGCTAAAAAGCAATGACATTGAATTCGGGTGGACCATTCCAACAGCAAACACTAATGTGCTCCTCCTCCCTGTCCTCCCACCCTACCCTTTCAGGGCAATGTCATTGTTTGGCATTCCCATGCTATGATTTCTCATAATAGTATGTACACAGATTTTCCCACATTTTCCCAGCCAAGACTGTGACTGAACCACAAATTCAGTAGGACCATTTCTTTTCCTCCCTGCAAACTCCCATGCTGCTTAAAGAAATAAGGGGTTTTTTCCCTTCTGTCTTCTCTCACTTCTTCCTGGAAAATAATCTTTTGGTTCAAGGAGAAAAAAAAATGAGATTACAGGAACTTGAAAGTTAGCAGCAACAAAATATGGCGCCCCTCCCCACCTAATTGCCCACCCCAACTCTCCCCTCCCCACCCCATGCTTTCTATTGATGCTGCAGAATACATATCAGTCATCTCTGCTTGCATAAAAAAGCATAACCACCCAATCCAGTCAGTTTTACAGATATTGTGTTAAAAAGGAAGTTGAGGGAGGGAGGGAGCTGGGAGGAGTTGGGGCTGAGTACTGTCAGGTTCTGATTATCTTAAATTACACTCATTTGTACTTTAATTTCTTCCTCCTTCGCCCTTTAGTCCTTGGAAGTTTGCCTTCAGTGTTAGTGGTTATTCACAAGGGCCTATGTTTGACCAGGCAAATAGTACACGTGAGTTACAGGCAATAACCCAGTGAACCCTGGCCCCACAATGGATCTGCTCATTTGAGATAGAAGAAGAATGGAGTCTGCCAATAAGGATTACCAGTCCCAGAAGATCACTCTGTACTGTCTGACAGGCATGAGAGTGTGGGTTTTGACTATGGCTTACTCATGCAGCCAAACCGATGGTCTGAAAGCAGAGTTTTCTGGCTGTGTTTTGAGGCCTAGGGGTGGGTGGGGAGTAGAGAACTGTGCTGAAATACTGGCTTGCCTTCAGTGGTGCAGTTGGCCATGACTAGTTTATTGACACCTGTCCATCCTGAGCATCCCTTGTCCATGCTCTCCCCTAAATTTGCCAAAGGAGGTCCGCTGAATACATCAGAGGCCTTATGTGCTTTCTCCTGACATCAAAAGCATTCTGGTGGTACAACCAGCCCATCTACCTATAATCCCTTACCATGTGACCAGTCAATCTTTTATAATCATATTTTTCCTGATACAATTTACTCATATTCTTCTTTGAAGTTCCCTCATCGAACCTACATTGCAACTTGTTCATACACACCATGGGTTTAATAGCAGACATTTATAAAGTGCTTTAAAGTTTGCAAAGTGACCTATGTGCTATACAGCATGTGAACCTAATAATAGTCTTATGGACTATGTTAAGAATACAAAGTATTATTACCCCCATTTTACAGATGAGGAAACTGAAGTTAAGAGAGCTTAAGTAATTTGTCCCTGGTCACACAGTAAGGCTCAAAGGAGAGATTTAAAGAAAGGGGTTCCTTAATTAATGTCTCAGTCATAGTTTCCTCAGGTACAAAAGAAAGGCTTGGATTAGATGGTTTCTAATAATCTTTCCAGGTCCAAATTTTATAATTCTAGTCCACTGAAAGACAATGTGGTATACTAGTAAGAAAGCTGAAACTAAAGTTAGGAAATTTGGGTTCAAATCCTGGCTTGGCCACTTACTATCTAAGTAACCACGGGCAAGTTATTTACATATTCTAAGTCTCAGTTTCTTCATTTATTTAGGAAAAAAAACAAAACAGAATAACCTGTATTCTTACAAGATTTTGCTTAGTAACCTTTAAAGTGCTATGAAAGTATGTTATCTTTGCTCATGGAGAAACAGGTTCTGCCTGTTTCTTCATGGCTCAGCTCAAGTACCATTTCAGATAGTAGGTTCTTCCTGATCTCCCCCACTGCTAGTGCCCTCACCCCAGATTTACTTTGTATATTTTCATATTTACTCATATTTGTAAATGTTATAGACAAAACTGTAAGCTCCCTGAAGGCAGGGATAATTTCTTCCTTCCTTCCTTCCTTCATTCCTTTCTGTCTTTCTGTCTTTTTTCTGTCTTTCTTTCTGTCTTCGTATTCCTGGTGCCTGGCACAAAGTAGGCATTTTGAAAATATTTGATTTATTGGCAATCTGTAAAGGATAATAACAATTTTAAATCCTTAGATTGGTCTTCTAGGCTCAGCTACTTACCTTTAAGAGAAACTGTTCCTTCTCATTTTTTATCTGCTGCTCCATTTCTTCATAGAGATGCTGAACTTCTTCATCATATGTGGCAATTTTCCTAAACAGATGGTAAAAAGGGGTTTTTGACTAAATCTATACTGAGGTTACTGTCACTTTACATATATAACATATGTGATTTGGGAGACATAACTGATTTAGAAGCAGGGAATGTAATTGGTGAATGTAGGAGTTTTGTTTCAGCCAAGGGGAAAGCTCAATTCTAAATCAACAAAAAAGGCACTTATTATATAGTGATACAAACTAGATATATACTTTTTTGCGAGGAGGAGGGGTCCTGCCCTGTGATTTTTATCAGTTCTGGGAATTCCCAGTGAGGCAATTCCCTCTACCAATGAAAATATTCAATTGTTGGACAACTTACAGTTGAGTCAATAAACATTCATTAAACACTGGCAATTGGAATGGACACATAATATAATTTCATGTTATCTAACATCTCCTGGGTACTCACCACTGCACGGAAATACTTTTATTCTTCCTTTCTTTATCACAGTTTTTAAAGGTGGCTTCTTTTCTCCTCAAACTATTTGAGTCCCTCCCCAACATTCTCTTGCTCTCTCATCACATAACCTCACCTATTTTGCTAAAAAAATGAAGGTCTCTATTGAGCTTCCCCACCATGCCAGCCTTGTTCACTTGGTTCAGCCCCTAACTCTCCAGGATACTTTTCACCTCCCCTCACCTTCAGTTTCCTTTTATGTGTTCTCTCTCCCTGCCCCTGCCCCCTCATTAGAATTAAGCTCTCTGAGGGCAAGAACTGTCTTTCTTCAGCTAGCAGTTGTATTCCCAAATATGGGAATGTATGGGGTGTATGGAATGTTCAGGACCTCTGGTATGAGGGCTTGCCCAGACCTTTTCAGGGCTATTATCCACTTTTGGTGTCCACCTGATTCACCCAACTCTCATCTATGGCTCCCAGAAACTGTAGACCTTGTGCAACTCTGCTTCACTTAAATCTAATTTATATGCAAATCAAGACATCACCCATAAAATCATCGATCCTCTTCAAAAACAGCAAACAACAATTTGTATACCCAGCAATGCCTCCCCTCCCCCCCTTCCCTACTCCTCCTCTCCTCTTCTTTCCTCTCCTCTCTCTTGTTTCAGTCTCACTGTCTCTCTGTCTTTGTCTCTCTTCCCACTCTGTATCTCAAAACCCTTTTCTCTACATCTTCACCCACCCTCTTCTTTTTCACTATAGTCTCTAAGGAATACATAGACCTTCTCCTGTCAAGGCTAACACTCCTGCCTTTGATCCTGTCCTTACCTGGAGTTTGCCTATTTGATCATTCTTTCTCTCCCTTCTCTAATCTTCAGTCTCTCCCTTCTGCTTGCTTCTTCCCAGCTGCTTGCAAACATGCTCAGGTTTCTTCCATTATTAAAATGAGAACAATAATCTTCACTTGACCCTGCCTATCCTTTTATTATTCTTTATCTCTATACCTTCTCTCTACCATGTTTCTAGAAAGAATTCTCTACTCTCCCTGCCTTCACTTCCCCAATAGCCACTAATTTCTCAATGTTAGAAACAAGTTTATGAACCCACCACTTGACTACACTCTCCAAGGTTACCAACAATCTCTTACATGTTAACTCCAATGACTTTTTCTCAGTCTTCATCCAACTTGACTCCTGTGCAGCTTTTCATACTGCTGATCATGATCCTGAATGTTCTAGCCTTTCTTGGCCTCCTAGATATGGTCTCTACTGAATCTACTTCTACCAGTCTGATCCTTTTCAGCCTCCTTTTGGGCATCATAATCAATCTCTCATATTCTAAGAAAGATTCTATCCTGGGTTATCATGTTTTTCTCTCTGAATTTTCTCCTTGATGATCTTATAAGCTGCCATAGGTACAATGATCATTTCTACAGAGATGGGGGAAAGGAAGGAGAATGAGCATTTATATAGCCCCTACAATGTGCCAGGTACTTTGCAAAGTGCTTTTTACAAATATTGTTTCATTTGATTCTCTATAACAACCCTTCAAAGTAGGTCCTATCCCCATTTTACAATTGAGAAAATTGAGGCAAACAGAGGATAAGTGACTTGTCTAAGAAATCACAGCTAGTAAGTGTATGAGGCTACATTTGAACTCAGGTCTTCCTGTTCTTGGCTCAGCTCTTTATCCACTGCACCACCAGCTGCCTCTCAGACGGCATATGTGTGTGTGAGTGTATGTATGTATGTAAATATATATATATTTATATATATGTATATGTATACACACATATGGAGAGAGATCTATATATCTATTTCTATCTCTGTATCTCTCTATTTCTACACTTGTTCTTCTTCTAAACATGCCCATTTCCACCAACAGTACCAGAGCCCTCAAAGTGACCCAGGTTTGGAACAATGGAATTATCTCTGCCTCCTCTCTCATCCACCACATCTAATCAGTTGCCAAATCTTGATTCTACCTCTACAAAATCTCTTGCATCAGTTTTTTTTCTCTCCAAACACTAGTTCAGCCTTCTTCCACTTCTCATCTAGATTATTGCTACAGCCTCCTAATTACTTTCCTTAACTTTTAGTCTTTCCCCTTCTCATATGCTACTAAAATAATATTCCCAAGACACATATCTGATCATACTGTTCTCCTGCTCAAAAAAACTTTAGTGACTACCTTTCACCTTTAAGATAAAGTACATACACTCTTTAGCATGACCATCTAAAGTCTTCCTTATTCTGGCTCCAACTGCTTTTTCTAACCCTATTTCAAATTACTTCTTTCTTCAAAATTTACATACCAGACAAACTGCTAGACAAACTGATTTCCCAGACATCAACATTCTATCATTTGCCTCCAGGTAGTTACACTTGGCTCCAGAACTCCCATCACGCACTCTGTCCTCATCTCTGCTCCATGGGATATTTATCTTCCTTCAAGCTTGGGCTCAGGTACCACTGCCACTGGGAAGCTCTCTAAGCCCCTCCTATTTAAGTAGAACTAACTCTTCTGCTCAAATTACTTGCAATACGCCCTTTGGTCAATTATTAAGTCAGTAAGAGTTTTATTTCCACCTTTTTATTCTCAGCTTCTAGCACAGTGCCTTGCTCATAGTATACATTTAATAAGTGTTGAACTGAATTGTTTTCAGTCCAGCAATGTAGGATTCAGAATTAGTAAACAAATTTTTGAAGATTTAAAAAAAGGATAAGATACAGTTTTCGCTTTATAAGATCAAAGTTTTTATCTAGGTACTGCAGATACAAAAACAAACATAGTCTTTGCTCTCAAACAGCTTACATTTTACTGGGGTGATACAATATATAAAAAAAAAGTACAGAAAAAGTAATTTCTCCTTTTTTCCCCTTTGTTCAAAATGTGTTTACATTTAACTAGATAATTCTAAACTAGGCATGAAAGCTGTTTTCAGGGTAAATGGAAAGAAAGTAACAGGTGATGAGCCCAAGTCTCACAGAAATAGAAGAAATTTTCTTGATATTAATAAACATTTCAAAATATACCGATTTTGCCAAGTATTACAATCACTGTTCAAATCAAATAATAGTCCAAATACTCTTTGAAGTGCATTTATTAAAACTCTAATGTTAGTGTGATATTGTTGGATGAACATAACTAGTTATCTTTGCAAGTCTTCGAAACACATCAAAGACATGAATGGTCATCTCTGAAGAAGTTAAGGGATTTTTGGCTGAACATTCAGCATAAAAGATATCTTCACATTGTTTACAATGATGCCATCTCACTGTGACTGAAAAGCCTTTCCCACAGGCCATATATTTCTCTACTTCATTATCATCAGTCCATTTTCTATTTCAAGAGGTAATTTCAAGAGGGAAAGAGTATTAATAATTATGAGGTTCTAGAACCTGACCTTTGAAGGAAACTAAAGGTTTCACAAAGTATACATGAGGAGTGAGTGCACTCCAGATACAGGGATTTCAGCTGTGAAAAGGCATGAGACTAAGAGATGGAATGTTGTATACACAGGGGACAACTATCCATCCAGGTAACACAGAGTACATAAAGCGAAGCAGTATAATAAAATGGGAAAGGTAGTTAGGAACCAGATTTTGGAGGGCTTTAAGCACCAAGCCAAGGATTTTGTATTTTAACTTAGAAGTAATAGGAGATCATTGAAGACTTTGGGGTAAAAGTATATGTGTTTTCATATAAATTTGGCAGCTGTGTGGAGGATATACTCTGCAAGAGGTGCAGAGGAAAAAGGAAGAGTAATTTCTTCTTGAAAGCTGGGTTCTTCCTCCATGGCTGGCTTTCTTCTCATCTGTCAGAGAAGACTCTCTTCTCACAACTTGCTCCTGCTTTTTATGGTCACCAGGGGACATGGATAATCCTTTAGCCAATCAATTGCTAGCCCTATACAGTGGCATTGGAGGCACTTGGGAAAAGCAATAATTTTCATTTTGAAACAGAATTAGTCATGTGTATGTGCTTCTGCTGATACTAGGATAATTCAGAACATCAGACCTTGACCAGATAAAACTGGATCAAGATAGCACCCACATCTTTAGTTAGTTTTCTGTCAAATGAGTGCAGGATTTCATGCCATATGCATGTATTTCTATTTTTCATGTTTTTAATTCTTTGGTTTTTAAGAAAGGATATTACTTCAAGGAGACATGCAAAAGTTGTAGCTCTTAAAAAGCATGCTTCAATAACTGTTACAGATACTGCAGCAGCTGTTGGTATGGAGAAGTAAAGCTTTTTAATGATCTTTCAAGCTGCAATGAAATAGAATTAGCCAAAGAAAAGTATGATAGGCAGCAAGAGCAGTGACAAGAACTGAATAACTGTGACTTAGGAGAATCAAATTAATCCTCAGCAAACAATCAACAACCTTCAGAGAGACCCAGAAGCTGGAAAGGGTGCTATTATTCCTCCATAGTGTTGCATCAGCTTCTTAAAGTTAGGATAAAATAAAGTCAAAATGGGTTCATGATTTAGATATAAAGGCTGATACTATAAGCAAACTGGGAAAGCAAAGAATAGTTTACCTATCAGATTTATGGAGAACAGAACAATTCATGACCAAACAGAAGATAGAGAACATTATGAAATACAAAATGGATAACTTTGATTACATTAAATTGAAAAGGTTTTGCACAAACAAAGCCAATGCAACCAAGATTAGAAGGAAAGTAGAAAATTGGGAAAGAATTTTTACAACCAGTATCTCTGATAAGGGCCTCATTTCTAAAATATATAGAGAATGAAGTCAAATTCATAAGAATACAAGTCATTCCCCAATAGATAAATGGTCAAAGGATAGGAACAGGCAGTTCTCAGATGAAGAAAGTAAAGCCATCTATAGTCATATGAAAAAATGCTCTAAATCACTATTGATTAGAGAAATGCAAATCAAAACAACTCTGAGGTACCACATCACACCTATCAGATTGGCCAACATGACACAACAGGAAAATGATAAATGCTGGAGAAGATGTGGGAAAATTGGAACGCTAATGCATTGTTGATGGAGTTGTGAAATGATCCAACCATTTTGGAGAGCCATCTGGAACTATGCCCAAAGGACTATAAAAATGTGCATACCCTTTGACCCAGCAAAACTACTTCTAGGGCTGTATCTCAAAGACATCATGAAAATGAGAAAAGACCCATATGTACAAAAAAATTTAGAGCAGCTCTTTTTGTGGTTGCAAAGAATTGGAAATTGAGGGAATGCCCATCAATTGGGGAATGGCTGAACAAGCTGTGGTATATGAATGAAATGGAAAACTATTGTATTCCATGATTAGCAGGCAGACTTCAGAAAAACCTGGAAAGACTTGTATGGACTGATGCCGAGTGAGGTGAGCAGAACCAGGAGAATGTTGTACACAGTAACAGTCATGTTGTGTGATGACTAACTTTGATATACTTAGCTCTTCTCAGCAATGCAAGGATCTAAGACATCTCCAAAGGCCTCATGATGGAAAATACTATCCACATCCAAAGAAAGAATTACGGAGTTTGAATGCAGATCGAAGCACAGTATTTGCTCTTTTTTTTCTTCTGTTGTGTTTTGTTTCCTCTTTCTGGTGGTTCCTTCTATTGGTTCTAATTCTTACTTACAACATCACTAATGTGAAAATATGTTTAATAGGAATGTATATGTATAGCCTATATCAGATTGCACACCATTTTGGGGAGGGAGGTGGGGAGGGGTTGATAAATCAAAATAAATTAATAAAAAAAAGTTAGGATCACAAGAAAATTAGGGAAAGAGAGAGGGAAACCCACTATAAACCTTTGTTATGAAGAAAGAAGTGATTATCATAGTCAAGACAACAGAAAGACTGGAGTACTTAAGATGTTTAAAAAGGTAATAAATATTCAATGACACAAATCTTCATCAGTAGTACAGTGCTTTATACATAGTATGTGCTTAATAAATGTTTACTGATTTGAAGAACTGAATGGAACACCACCAATCCGACTTGTCCCATATTTTGTGCAGTCCATCTATGTGGCCTGATTCTAGTTCAGCTCCTCAGAAGACACAAGGTGTTATTTTGACTTGTTGAGTATGACTGTGTGTGCTTATATTTCCCTGGTTCTATCACCCCAAGGAAGTGGGGGGATCCTAGATAATCAGAAGAGGAGGAAGAGAAGAAAACACAAAAGATCTGAGGAGAGAGTGGAAGAAGGATGCTCTAAGCTGTCTCTCAAGCCCAATACCTCGGAGGTAGCCAAGGTTATGGGACAATCAACTGGGTGCTACTATCAAATGATGGAGAGAATCTCTCTCTTTTTCTACTTGTCCCCACCAAGTGCATAAGCTGAAAGTAATGCTATCTTATCTATTGTTGTTATTTATCCTTCTATTCTCAAAAAGGAACAATGACATCACAGGGGTGATGTCTAGACTTTTGCATTAATTGGATTTAAGTGAGAAAGAGCTATGCATAGTCATCAGCCTCAAGGTGGCAAAACAGAAGTCAAGACAACTGGCAATGGCCCAGCTATCTTACCTAGAGAATGAAAAACATTCTAGGATGCTTAGATGGAAGGCACAACAGAAAGACTGATGTATCTGTTCAGATAGAGAGAAGGCACAGAGAGAAATTGAGGCACGATACTCACTTTTTCAGGGTACATTCCAGTTCATCCTTCTCCTTGTGGGCTTCCTGTAGCTGGCAGAATATTCTGGAGAGAAACTCTTCAAAGTTGGACAGCAAGTGAGGCTCATGCTTCTTTAGCTGCTCCCAAAGTTGCTTAACATCACTTTCACTGTTTTTTTTTAAAGGGGGGGGATTGAAGAATAATGTAATTATTGGGGTAATAGGTAAAGTCAAGTCAATGAGGGCTGTGGAGTTACTTCTGGGCCTAGCATCCAGCATCAATCTATTAATTGTCCAAAGTATCTCAGAACATGGATTATGTGGCCAAGCCCTCTTAACACAATAGCTCCCAATATATAAAAGATGGAGAGGTAAGAGATTCCTTGTGTGTTTAGAGATGAGGGTTATGAAACGTGGAAGAGCTCATCACTCCTACTCCTGGGAAAGATTGGCATTTGATACTGAAAGTTAAAGGCAAAGAGCTAGAAGAAAAGAAATAGCTCCTCCTTGCCCACTTCCCCAGTGGGAATTAGGGCAAAAGAGTGTGACTAACAGTAGAGAAGGAGAAAAAAAGAAAGTTGAGACATATGTAAAGTTACAAAGACAGACAGAAGAGATGAAAAATTTAATTGTATTTATTTGTTTCAAGGAAGAATTCCATGTGGGTGGGGAGCAGGGAATAAATGAGAAGTGTCAAAGTGTCAGTGTTATAACACATCTGCATTAGGAAAGTAGAAGAAAGTCCTGGAGGTATCAGAAGTCCTTAAGGATGAAATTCTGAAAACACAAAAGGAAATTTCTGATATGGGACAGAAAGGGCAGTTGTCCAAAATGATCAATGTGGATGACCAGGGAGATCAAAAAACAAACTTCAATATTTAAAAAAAGATATGTAGAGAAGATGGAGGCAAGAACAGATAATAGAGGATGAACATAAATGCATGACTTGGTCTTATACAAATAGGGTCAGAAATGCTAAAGTTCAGAATGTGCTAAAGCTGGCAAAGAAATCTAAGAATGACGAAAGTTTTTAAGCTCTATGGCAGGGGGTTGCGGAAGAAGAGATTGGCTTACTGCTAGGGAAGGATAAGACAACAAATGAAATGAGAGAGAAGGAAAGGATGAGACAATGATAAAAGAGAAACAGAGAAAAAAGGGATAAAACAGGACTATTTTTTTTGTCTGTTCTCTCTGACAAGGTGAATGATGTTAGGACTGGAAAGGCCAGAATAAAAATGGTAATAGGGAACATCTAGTAATCCTTGATGAGTTCAAGCTACCTAGCCCAAACAACGTTCATTCCTGATTTTCTCGTTAGTGATATGTAAAATATTACTATTGTCTCTTTCCCTGGGCCTTTATAGTCCAGAATATACATGATTATTGGAAAGATCTATAATTTGTCAACTGTAGGAACTCTCTCCACCAATACATATCTTATGTATCTCAATGTGACTGTGTATTATTATTAGCTAGGGTATCTCAACCTTCATGGTAAGAAAAATATATTTCCCATGGTTCCACTAAAGCCTTCTACCTCCCACGTGACATAGATCACCCATACACCTTACAGGTACTTTCCCCTAAATATGCTTATATCCATTGGGTCTACTAGCTTTCTCCTGAACACTTTCTTTTTCTCCTTTGTAGACTATGGATAGAGTTGGGTGACAGGGAAGATGATTAGAGAATTCTGCCTCTAAAGAGGCTTTGATTCCAATTTGTGTGCTTGAATTAGTCTGAGGAGGTCAGTGGAAAGATCCAGTGGGAATTTAGTCTTACCAGCTTTTGTGCAAGTTGGGGGCACCTATCTCCACATGCTGCCTTAATTCTCATCCTACCCATGTTCTGTAATGGGAGTTCACCCTAAAGCAGTGGTTCTTAGCCTGGGATCCATGAACTTTTTTTTATATTTTGATAAGTGCATTTTGATATAACTGGTTTCCTTTTTAATCTCATTTATTTTATTTTATGCATTTAAAAATGTTATTCTGAGAAAGGGCCCATAGGTTTTACCAGACTACCAAAAAGGTCAATGATACATAAAGGTTTAAGAACCTCTGCCATAAAGGGACCTCAAACTCTCACAGTATTTGTACCCAGAGGCCTCAAACTCTCAACTTGCCTAGGGCTCCACATTCAAACTCATTCCTCCATTCATATACCTTGACTCAATGGTGTTTTCCCTTAGTCTGAATAGCCATGCTATTCACCAATCACTCTCTTACCCTAACTCATATCACAAATCACTCTAAATCCAACACATAACATTTTCTGTGTTCCTCACACTCCACTCCAGACCCACTCCATCACAAGCACCCAGGACTGAGCCTCCAAACATACCCACTCCAACCAGCATCAATAGAATATTCTCAAACTCCTTTATATGCCTGTGATTAGTTAATTACTGCAAATAACTGCAGGCAGTCATCAACTAAGGTATACTGCTGTTGCCCTCTCAGCATCAATCACGCCACACCATAAACCTGTTTTCCTATTCATTCATTCACAGTACCAACTATGTGCAATATAAACCACCAGTCAGAAAGATGAATAAATGGCACAGTAACTGTCCTCAAGGAAATAAAACAAATAAACAGATATAGAAGATGAATTAGGATATGAAAAGCACAGAATGCTATGAAATTTGATGAAAGAGAAGTCACTAGGTATTTAGGGAAAGGGAGAAATAAAGACATCTTCATGGAGGAGAGAGAATTTGAGATGACCTTGAAGGGTTTCTGTCCTTGATGGAGATGGATTTAGCTAGTCACCGATGTCTATAGATTGACCTTTCATTGACCTTCCCTATAGCTTTCTCTTATCTGAGACAAACCCTTTCGGTGGTGTTTTTCTCCCAGTCCTCTGGCATCAGGACTCAGATGGACACTTCATGATTTCTACCTTACAAGTGTACAGGTAGGCAATTACCAGGACAGCTTGGGAATGATCCTTCTTTCCAAGAAAACCTCTCCATCTACTCTTCAATGAATGAGGGATATGATGTAATTGATCTGTGAAAGCAGGAAGGCAAAAGCTATTTCCATTAACCCTCATGGAGACATCAGCCTCCATCCCATTTGAAGTTGCCTGTAGATAGCTTGTAAAAAAAAAAAAAAAACAACTCAGATACCTGAGTCACTGAATCCTAAAATGGCCCTTATCATGTATCTGCAGAGCTTAATGAGTTCATAGGATGGAGAAAAAGAGAGGCAGATGAGATATTTTTGTGGCAGAGCAGTATAACTCTGGGGAGTCTGGTTACCAGGGTGGGCTGTTCCCATGCATCTCTGCTTGTGTCCCACTATGTTTGTTATATGTACCCCTAGGGAAAGTCTTGTGTGCCAAGTCCTAACTATAAGCTGCTTGAGGTATTAGGGTCATAGATCCCAGCAAAAAGGCTGGGCAATGCCTGCTCTGTTGCAAGACCAACACAGAGCTGCACCCAAGGGCAGCCTCCTCTGTATTCTCTCAGGTGTTTCTGTGCCAAAGGTTCAAGTTATCCTCTCTGGAGAAATCTTCAAAGAAAAGCAGTGCTCTGTCACTAGGATTTGGCCCCATTTTTGCTAAGAAGCTGGTTCAGGTGACAAATTTTCTGAATGCTCCCTCCCTGTGGCTGCCAGCTGCTATCTTCTCCTAAGATCCATCCATTCTTGCAACTGAGCTATTGCTGCAACAATCACACCCATAAAATTCTCTTGCAGAATTCTGCTCATCATCTGGTGCACAGTTTCATTGGCCTCTCTTGACCCTGGTACAATCCTGCAAGTCATCTTCTAAAGATCATTAAGCCACAAACACTCTATCTGGGCTGACAAACTGTGTACTAGTCCCACTGATATGCCCCCCCCACACCCTAATCTAGCCATCTGCATTTCCTTCTACTATTACCCTTTTCCCCAAGCTCTGAAAGTGTCAGCCCTTATCTGCAGGGTTCTCCCACTTAGACAAGATATTGAACCTGATTCCAGAGGATACAGGACCTAAAAACAACAAGAAGATAAAGGTCATATGTAATTTATTTTAGGGCAAGACCAGTTTCTATTATTTCCAACCTAATGTTTAATTTCATTTTTTCTCTTGATCAAGAGGACTTTATGGAAGAAATGGGGTATGTCTAGAACTGTGTTTGGTTTGAAAGCCTGGATACCAAAAAAGATTGGTCAGCCAAACGATAAATAACTGATATAAATAAAAAACTGATATAAATAACCATAGATTATGCTTAGCCCAATTTTCTGTCTCAGTATGCTATGAAAAAGGTTGAGGTTTGTCACACTGCTACTTTCTAGTTAAATGAGCCTGGACAAGTCAATTCTCTGAGCCAATTTCTTCATCTGTAATGAGAACATTTTCTTAACATTCACTTTGATTTTTAAGTCATTCAAATTATGATCAAATATACTGGAAAACAAACCAGAGAGGTTTGCTGTGATTATTGAATGCACAGAGAGATAAAGAAAGAGGGAATCCTATTTCTTAAAGAAATGGGAGACTTTTTTTCCTCAGAAAAGCTGGGCCAGGTGCAATTATACTGAGAGTATTATGAGCTTCATATATGCATTGCAGAAGTACTGGAGACCAATGAAGATAGTTTCTCAGGCACTGAGACTGTGAGGAAAAAAGAGACTGAAAAAATGCTTCATGCTGACAGCCCTGTGTCTCTTGTGGCTACTTTCAGTGTGGCCAGGTGTGAAAGAAAAGTCTGGTCCTAGGGGGTGAGGAGGGACTAAAGCAGAAAGAGGAATGAGGACTTCAGGCAGGTACTATTGGTCTGAGCTAAAGGCCTGGCTGTATGTAGTGCATAGAAATAAGAGCCAATGGTTGTTGGTGGTTGAAACTGATAGAGTAACAGCCCCTGAGAAAGGAAGAGTTTGGGAGAGGCTGATCCCAATAAGTTCTTGCTAAAAATGAACAGGAATGGACAAGATGGTTTTTTTTTTCCTGTGAAGAATCCTAAAAAAGAGATGTGGATGGGTCACTACAAGGAAGCAGCAAAAAAAAAAAAAAAAGAAAAGAAAAGGTGGGGGTTTCTGTACCAATGGACACATGGCATCAGGAAAAGATGGAGGTAGCAGCTAGGTGATGTAGTAGATAGAATGCCGGACCTGGAGTCAGGAAGACTTGAGTTCAAATTTGACCTCAGCTACTTACCAGCTGTGTGATCTTGGGCAAGTCACTTAAACTCTGTTTGCCTCAGTTTCCTCAACTGTAAAATGGGGATACTAATAGCACCTTCCTCCCAGGGTTGTTTTGAGGATTTAATGAGATAATATTTGTAAAAAGCACTTAGTACATCATCTGGCACATAGTAGGCATTATATTGCTTATTCCCTTTCCTTCTCTCCCTAGTAGAAAGAATACTAGCTGTGGAGTTGGAGAACCTGGGTTTGAATCTCAGCTTTACTGCTTAAGGTCTACGTGACCCTGTAAAAGCCCTTTTATTTGCATGGATCTCACCTTCCTCCTACATAATAAAATAAAGAAGGTGGGAATGGACCACCTCTATGTGCTCTTTCAACTTTCAATCGTATTATTCAATGAGAAGGTCAAGGTAGATGGAGGAGGTTCCTTATGCAGCACCCCTTCAGGATCACTCCCTCAACTTACACTCACAGTTGGGGGTCGAATCCCCAGAGGACAGCATCTATTTTGGGTTCAATGTATAAATCTGCAGAACTGTACTCTTAACACTATAGTTAACAATCAGCCCATCCCAGCTCCCAGCACCAGTGATACAGGGGCCCACAGCGGTTGCCACTGCCTCAGAGGACTTACTCTTCTAAAATTTCCTGTGCTCCGAGTTTATCCATCAATAGGTGGAACTGGTCTTCCTCATCTTCATCCTTGTTGTCAATCACTTCTTCACACTTGGACTGATAGATTTTCTCCCCCTGGGGCTGGGCCCTCTGTTCATCAGAGGTATAGTTATTTTGGCTAAAGAAGAAATGACCTGGGGATCAAAGTAAATAGAACAATTTAATAATTGTAAGGGAATTTCTCCCTTGTGTCTATGCCCTTTTCTTGTTGGGAAGTGCAAACACCTCTTTAATTCATTCAAGATGGAGATGACTCGGTTGGCAAACAAATTAGCCATGCTTCTAAGTGCTTTATCGAAACCTTGTACAAGTGGAGACACTGTAAAATGGGAGCTGATTATTAAAGAGACCTCTGTGGGGAGGAGGGAAGGGGGGAAGTTTCTCTGTCTCCCTATCCCCCTCCCTATATCACTTGAAGCTATATTGCTTCAAAGATGAGTTATTGGACAAGGAGGAGACATTGCATCCAGCAGGGAATAGAAGCACACACTACGGACACACGTGGATACACAGACAATCAAGAAGTTAGTCTCTGGCAGCAGAAAAGAGAGTGAGACTATGGAGGGGAGTTGACAATGGGAATCTAGGCAAGGAACCCATCCAACAAAGATGTTGTACCCCAAGGGAAGCTGCGCGAAGATTTTTATAAAGAGAGAAGGGACTTCCAGGCTTTGCAGTACCAGGAGTTGTGACTGGCCTATGTCACACAAGTAAAATATATATGCCTCACTGCATTTCTGCTCTTCAGTTTGAACCCACTCCTTCCATGGATACTATGTGTATTTCTGGGATAGTGCACCCCAAATCTGTGGGGAAAATGTTTCGTAATTACAATTATTCTTACATCTTTCAAATAAATGACTTTACTAAGAGGTAATTAAGTCTACGGGCTGATTGTTAACTATAGTGTTAAGAGCACAGTTCTGCAGATTTATACATTGAACCCAAAATAGATGGTGTCCTCTGGGGATTCAACCCACAAGTATGAGTGTAAGTTGAGGGAGTGAACCTGAAGGGGTGCTATATAATATTTCACCTTCAGAGAGCTTCCAATTTGTCTAACTACTAGTAGTTGTTTGTAGGCTGGAGTAGGAATAAAAGAATAGATCAAAGTCAGAATTTAATACTATATTTTAAACATCTTGTCCCTTTCTCTTTATTACTTCTATCTGAAAGACACTTTTGCTACAGCGGAGATACAATGCACTCTAATAATAAGAATAGTAGCATCTCAAATATATATTAACACCTTGAGGTTGCAAGAAGTGTTATGAGGAAAACCTCATAACAACCTTGTAGGTAGATAAAACAAGCACTAACATCACCACTTGAAAGATACCGAGGAAGCTTATAGATATTAAGTAGCCTGCTCACATTCCTACAACTAGGAACTAACCATCAGAGCTTGCACCCACAGAATCACAGTATTAGAGTCAGAAGAAACATTACAAGCTATTGAGTCTTGACTTCACCTAAACAAAAAGTCCTCTATAATATATGGTCATTCTATTTGACTAAAGAACTCCAGTGAAGGCGAATGCCCTACTGACTGAGGCAGCCCATTCCACTTTTGGAGAGCTCCAATAGCCTGGTTTTTGTTGCTGTTGTTGTTGTTGTTGGCTGATGTTTTTGTTTGTTTGTTTTCTTTTGAAAACTACATCTTCTGATTTGAGTCCATTACTCCTTTTTGAAAAAATCCAATTTTATTTTAACTTCCAAATTCTCTCCCTCCACCTGCTTCTCTCTCACCCACTGAAAAGGCAAGAAAAACAAGACCCATTAGAAATATGTATAGTCACACAAAACAAATTTCTGGCTTAGCCATGTCAAAAAAGAAAGAAAGAAAGAAGGAAAGAAAGAAAGAAAGAAAGAAAGAAAGAAAGAAAGAAAGAAAGAA